TTATTTTTCTTTATACCCTGAGAAAATTACCATGAAAGTGTGTCCGATATGGCCGCTCGTAATTTTAGCCGTCGTGACAACAACAAGTCGACACGCTCGCGGAGAGGATTGCGTGAAAGGTGCCAAAACTCGGTCAAAACAAAATGAATGTTCACGGGGAAAGCTTTTTATTGTCGGAAGAAGACTTGCAAGAGCTGGACAGGTTCCTGAAAAAAGTAGGGTTTGTTTAAAACATAAAAATTTAATTGAAAAGAAAGACCGGCGATGCTCCTTCCCTAGTAGAGGCAGCCATACAAACTCACTCATCGACTTACCAATACGACTGTACGACGCTGTGGATAGATTAGGAGAGGCAAATGAATCATATACTCCAGGAACTATGTGGTGCACCAACTGCAGAGCACGGGAGAAGGAAATATTCCAAACTACAGAGGGTTATAAGCCACCGGAAAAGCGGAAACGAGTAGGTTTTTGTCATGTGTTGTTTACGTAAAGCGACCGTGTAGTGCGTGACGGAAGTCTAACTTTCGAGTGCTTGAAAAACGGACAGTAGTAGAGTATTATCTTTATATTTTTTTTATTCTAGTCTAGCACAAGTGTAAAACAAAATGAAGGACTTGGTGTCAGCGAAAATACTCCTACAAGTGAGCTATCAAAGGTGAATAAATTAGTGTGTTGTATGCTATTTTTAATAACATGAAAATTAAAATCATAAAATCCCGTCGTTCAATCATCTTTTTTTTGTACTGTAGATTTTKCAGTTTTCAAATTCTCCAATAGAGCGCCTACAAATGTCTCTGGAGAATGCAAAATCAGTCTTACACAATTCTAGAGGAAGCTATGAAGAAATGGTTTCGTGTAGAAGGCACCTGACAGCAACGAGAAGGCACTTCCAGAATCTTTTTGATCGGCTTCGACTGTTGTCAAACAACTCTGGAATAACTCTTSATAAGGAAATACACAGCTGGAGTGTAGTTGAAACATCTTTTGGCAATATTGCCTTAAATACAAGAGGAGACGTCCAAGTAGACAGCTCTGTGTGGGAACAGATGGTGAAACAATTAGAAAATAAGAACACAGAACTTCAAGGTAAACATGAATATGGGTGAGGGGAATTAATGACATTCTACTCTTATTGTTTAAAGAACMAATAATATCATGAATTTCCCTTTTTTCCACAGAAGATTCATTTGAGACTTTGGTGGATATGTTCCAAAATGCACTCTACCATCACTACACAAATGAGGAGCCACCACTTTATAACAGATTTGTCATGCATGACTTTGCAGAAGAGCATGCACCTGGTTTATATAATATGATCTTTAATTCAATATCAAGAATTGATGGCAAGCAGTGTAAAGAAAGGATTGAGCTTCAGCATCAAAGAACAGTGGTGATTCTACATACACTTGCATATTTTAGGTAGTCATATCAATTTCCTAAAAATAGAAATAATTAATTTTTAACTTTTATTTTAAATTGTACTAATTCTATTGTCTTTAGTAGACAATAGGGTATAGTATTGCAGTCATTTAGATTTTGTACTCTATCAATGCTTAGATCACAAAAGACTTCAACGTTACAAAAAGATCTGGGTCTTTTCTTAAATCAACATGGGGCATCGAGATCTGCAATCAACAGTGGCCCTATTKTAGGATACAGTACTGCCCCCAGAACCATTGACYGCTATAATGATGATTTCAGGAGAAGATTTCCATCTATTCTCCATGAAAAAATTGAAAAAGCTAAAAAGGTATAATAAAAGTTTTCATCAGTCTAATTAAATTGCACAAAATAATTATATCTTTTCCTTACTTCTCAGGAAAACTACTTCATTATGCTATTAATTGATGATTTTCACAATATTTACACTGTACGTTTACCACAAAGTGACCTTAAACTTTCTATGGCTACTCATATGGTATCATCACTCCTGGATATTCACCCTACTATGAATGGGATCAAACTACCATCCAAAATACATCAAATTCACTGTTGCCCTACAGTTGTCATTGATGGCAAAGAGAAAACATGTGTGGGAGGTAATGTGTGACCTGAAAACTCCTTTTATTATTCACTGAAAACATGATTATTAAATTCATTTATAACAAAATGGAATATCATTGCTGTGACCATACATGTATCTTTGCATTATAAGCAAGTTCATTTCAGCTTCAAGTTTTTCGCAAAATATGCTTTTATAGCTTATGTTGAAATTAAATAAGCAATATGAAATTTATATT